AAAGGTCATCCAGTTTAACCCCCTGCCAAGATGCAGGATTTGTTGTGTCTAGATCATCCAAGACACATGGCTATTCAGCCTCCTTTTGAAAACCTCCAATGAGGGAGCTTCTGCAACCTCCCTAGGCAGTCTATTCCATTGTCCTATTGTTCTTAAAGTTAAGGATTTTTTCCTGAGCTTTAGTCTAAATCTGGTATGCTGTAGTTTGAACTCACTGCCTCTTGTCCTGCCCTCTGTGGCAAGAAAGAACAACCTTCCTCCATCTTTTTTATGGAAGCCTTTCAAGTATTTGAAGACTGCTATCATGTCCCTCCTCAAGCTCCTCTTTTCAAAACTAAACATACCCAGTTCCCAGTGGTTGATTTAGAGTTAGTGGAGCCCTGTACTCAGCTTCATTTTTGGGGCCCCTCCTTGGGACCCAGCCAAGAAAAAGAACATTCTCTCTTATCTCCCTCCCCACCCCTGTTTTTCATTCATCCTCCTCCTATAAGTAATAGCAAGTAAATGAAAATAAAGTGAGGTACCTTAATTGTTTTTGTAGTCTCACTTATTTTTCCACAGACCACTTGAAAATCGCTAAGGGTCTCGGTGGACCACTTAATGATCTTTCCAAATATTGGTTGTACCGTTAGCTAACTATTGTAAAGCGCTTTGGATAAGAGCGCTTCATAAAAAAGAATGTAAAAAACGCTGGGGTGCGGGATCTGGGCTCAGGGTTGGGGGTGCAGGGTCTGGGAGGAAGTTAGGGTGCAGGAGCGGGCTGGGGGTTGGGGTGCAGGGTCTGGCCAGGAGTTAGGGTGTGAGAGGGGGCTCAGGGCTGGGTCAGGGGGTTGAGATGTGGAGCGCTTACCAAGGGCAGCGCCCATTTGGTGTGAGGGGTGCAGGTGAGGATGTGGGGGGGGTACAGGAGTCAGGGAGGGCAGGGGACTGGGGTGAGAGAGGGGGTCCAGGAGTCAGGGTTGAGGGTGTGTGAGGAGGTGCAGGAGTCAGGGCATGGGGGGGCTGGGAGTGTGTGAGGGGGTGCAGAAGTCAGGGAGGGCAGAGGGCTGGGTGTGTGTGAGGGGAGTGCAGGAGTCAGGGCAGGAGGATGGGGGTGTGTGAGGGGTGTAGGAGTCAGGGCTGGGGGTGCAGGGTCCGGAAGGGAGTTAGGATGCAGGAGGGGGCTCAGGGTTGGGGCAGGAGGTTGGGGTGTGGAGCACTTACCTGGGGCAGCTTCCATTTGGTGCGAGGGGCGCAGGTGGGAATGTGTGTGGGGTCACACAGGGGACTCAGGGAGGGCAGGGGACTGGGATGAGTGAGGGGGTGCAGGAGTCAGGGCAGGGGGCTGGGGGTGCTGCCAGCCCCCTGCCCTGAGCGGCTCCCTGCCCCACCCCACCCCTGCCCCGATTCCACCTCCTTCCCCAAGGCCCTGCCCCCGCCTCTTCTCCACCTCCTCCCCTGAGCGCATTGCGGCCCCCGCTCCTCCCCCTCCCGGAGTGACCTGAATGCCGGCAAACAGCTGTTTGGCGGCGGGGGAAGTGCTGGGAGGGTGGAGGAGGCGGGGAAGGGGGGAGCTTGGCTGCTGGTGGGTGCGGAGCCTGCAGCAGGAGCCCCAGGAGCCAGCAGGACCAAGCTTCTGCCCCCACAGCTGCCCGGCCCTGGGGCACCCTGTCATTGCGGGGCTCCATGCCAGGTCACCCTGTGTTTTACTATAAATCCGCCTCTGCCAGTTCCTTCAACCTTTGCTCATGTGGCTTGCATTCCATCTCTTTGATCATCTTTGTCGCTCACCTCTGGATCCTTCCCAGTTTCTCTACATCGGTGACCAAAACTGGACATGGTACTCCAGCTGAGGCCTAACCAACACTGAGTAGAGCAGTACTATCACCTCCCATGACTTGCATGCTATGCCTCTGTTAATGCAACCCCTAAAATTGCATTTGCTTTTTTTGTAACAGCATAATGGAGGCTTCAGAGGCAAAAAGGCATTCTTGAAAATTTGGAAGTCAAATCTTACTGAGGAAAAATATGAAGCAGCATAAACTCTGGCAAGTAAAATGTAAAAGTATAATATGGCAGACCAACAAACAATTTGAGACGCCACTTGCTAAAGACGCAAAAACTAACAGTAAAACAGTTTTTAAAGTACATTTGGAGCAGGAAGCCTTCCAAACAGGCAGTGGGTCCACCAGACAACAAAGGTGTTGAAAGAGCATTCAAGCATTCAATGGCCATTGCAGAGAAGCTAGATGAATTCTTTGCATCATATTCACTGCAGAGGATGTGAGGGAGATTCCTGCATCACAGCTATTCATTTTGGGCAATAAATCTGAAGTACTGTCTCAAACTGATGTGTCAATAGAAGAGGTTTTAGAACAAATTGATAACAACTGTAATAAGTCACCAGGATCAGATGGTATTCACCCAAGAGTTCAAAAGGAACTCAAATATGACATTTCAGAACTACTAATCATAGTACAAAACCTATAACTAAAATCAACCTCTGAACGAAATGACTGGAAGATAGCTAATGTAACACTGATTTTTAAAAAGGACTCCAGAAGAGATCCTGAGCCTAACTTCATTACAAAGCAAATTGTTAAAAACTATAGAAAAGAACAGAATTATCAGACACATACATAAATACCATTTTTTGAGGAAGAGTCAACATGGCTTTTGTAAAGGGAAGTCATGCCTCATTGATCTATTAGAATTCTCTGAGAGTGTCCAAAAGCATGTGGATAAGGGTGATCCAGTCGATAAAGTATACTTGGATTTTCAGAAAGCCTTTGACAAGGTACATCACCAAAGGCCCTTAAGGAAACTAAGTAGCCATGGGATAAGAGGGAAGATCCTCTCATGAATCAGTAACTGGTTGAAAGACAGAAAAAGTGTAGGAATAAATGGCCAGTTTTCACAATGGAGAAAGGTAAACAGTGCGGTCCCCCAAGGATCTGTGCTGTTCAACATATTCGTTAGTGAACTGGAAAAATTTGCAGATGAGGAGTTACAGTGAGATCTTACAGAACTGGGTGACTAGACAACAAGATGGCAGATGAAATTCAGCACTGGTAAATGTAAAGTAATGCACACTGGAAAAAATAATCCCAACTATATATATACATATACAATGTTAGGTTCTAAATTAGTTATTAAAACCCAAGAAAGAGATCTTGGAGTCACCATGGATAGTTCTCTGAAAACTTATGCTTAATACACAACAGTGATCAAAAAGGCTAACAGTATATTAGGAACTATTAGGAAAGGGATAGAAAATAAGACAGAAAATATCATAATGCTATTATTTAAATCCATGGTGCACCCACACCTTGAATACTGTGTTTAGTTCTGGTTGCTCCATCTCAAAAAAAGACATAATGGAACTGGAAGCAGTTCAGAGAAGCTAATCAACGGCTTTCATACTAGGAGAGATTAAAAATATTAGGACTGCTCAGCTCAGTAAAGAGATGACTCAGGAGGATGTGATAGAGGTCTGTAAAATCATGAATGGCATAGAAAAAGTGAATAGAGAAATCTTACTCTTTCACAGAATACAAAACCCACGGGTCACCAGGATAAATTAATAGGCAGCAAGTTAAAAACAAACAAAAAGTACTTTTTCACACAACACCACAGCTAACTTGTGGAACTCCTTGCCAGGGGATGTTGTGAAGGCCAAAAGTACAACTGGGTTCCAAAAAGAACTAGATAATTTCATGGAGGATAGAACCATCAGTGGCTGTTAGCCAAGAGGGTCAGAGACACAATTCCATGCTGAGGGTGACTTTAAACCTCTTACTAGAAGCTGGGAGTAGAAGACAGGGATGGATCATTCCATATTTTCCCTGTTCTGTACACTCCCCCATACGCTTTGGTACTGGCCACTGGCAGGGACAGGATACTGGACAAGATGGACTGACCCAGTATGATAGCTCTTACGTTCTTATATTCATCTTAAAATATTGTTAAATATAATGTTACAGGCCAAACTTAAATGCACAACAGTAAGGACATTGTAAGTGAAGGCTATGATACCACTTTCCTGCCAGCCTAGGCATTTGAGAACTGCCACTCGAGTACTATCCTTTAAAAACAACGATCATGACTTCCTATTAATTATAATAAAAAAATCATTAATATAGGTTAGTGACCATAAAGTCCAAATGAGCACTGCACTAATTGTAGTCACTCCAGTTAATTGCAGGACGTTCCTACTGCAGTTATTACTGAAGCTTCAATAACAGTTTAAACATAAGATAAAACTAATGAGCAGGCAGCAAAAATGCTCTGCAAATCCACATGAAGTGGACCTGAAGAGACCAGGAGTCACAGCTGAGGTTATGCACTTAGGGTGAAATTCACCCTGATGCAGAAGGCCAGCGCACAGGTCTATGCACCACTTAAGTTCTCCAAACTGGCCCTTGGTGGGACTTAAGTGACGCACAGGCCTTGCACTGGCCGCCCTGCACAGGGCTAAATCTCCCCCTAGGTTCTGAGGGCCAATACTGAGTCCCGTGGAAAGCGTCAGTAAGCTGCTTTTGTAGAGGGCAGTTCTCTGCAGAAGATCCTTGATGAGAAGGGAGCCCCAAAAATCTCCACTGCACAGTGACACACAGAGAGAGCTGCTGGGGAGCACCGCTTCACAGCCCACATTCTACAGCTCCTCGTGTGGTGGATTTTGGAAAGGGGACCCTCCAAATGTGATAGGCTGCTCAAGGAGGGCACCCCGCCAATGTCTGGAATGTGATATGCTGCTATTACTTTTTTGACAGGTGAGGATTTCTGCGCGGTGCAGTAAATTATGTTTAATAAACTTTGAAGAATACCACCCAAGAGCCTTATAACTGCCTGAGATATCGGCTATCAGGATCAGATACAAGTATGGCTCCCTGGCATACTGTACAGAAACCAAGCATACACCCAATTCAGTTCTGCTAGAAAACAGAGTATTCATGTGTCAGGTACAGAAACAAAGCTGATCCCTTTTGAACCTTCTGAAATGTGTTTTCAGGAAGAATTACCTGAGTAAATTGCCAGTAAAGCTTCATCCTCTTGGCTTTGGCATAATTGCATTCAATGAGCCTGGGCCTGCTGTTCACATCCACCAGGCATCTGTTGTCATCATCATCAATAGTGGGACTCAGAACACCCACATGGATCTGCTGATTACTTGTGTAATAAACATTCTGCAAGAGAAAGCACAAAACAAGACTCATGGCCTGAAGATGGAGGAGCTATTTCTGTCAAAGCTAATAACAGCAAGAGTTAATACATTGACGAGATCTGAACTATCATCTTGTCCCCTCTTGTCTTGCAAATCATTTTATATGTAGGAAGTAGTGTAATATATGTAAAGGTAGTTTTAAACTATCTAGAATTGCCAGGTACCTGATGAATAGGGGGTTATGTGAATATTACAAAGCATTTGCTGATGACATTTTTCTCTGGCCGTGCAGATTTGGGCTCAGAAACAGGGAGTTGCTATAAGTGGTAAATTTTCCAGCAGGAAGTGGGATCAGTTTGGGAACTGCCATAATTTTTTATTAGACTATCTAATCTGAGGATAAAGCAAGATGCAGATTTGGGAGACAGGGGAGGGAGGAGAGGAATAATACAATTGAGTTCAGAGGGATCTGGATCTTTTATGTGACTAAGACAGTAAATAAAAAATGAAGCTTAGTGCAGATAAATGAAAATTAGTACATTTGGGGCAGCTCCCCAAAATGCAATGTACACGTTCAATTTACTGAATATATACATACAGGGCTGAATCCTTTGCTCTGGATTCACAGCACAGCATTGATCTCACAGACCCTAATGATTTTTCTGCTGTCCAAACAGTCAAGAGAATATTTATTATCTAGCCTATTCATTTTGCCCACTAAAAATGAGAGTGGTGTGTTTGTTTTGTTTGTTTCCCCAGAGGAAGGAGGGGAAAGTGAAAAATGGATGGCAGAGGTTCTATGGTGCTCCCTCACAAAGGTATAAAATTATATCAAATGTTGGCAAGGCGATATAAATCCACAATTTGGGATAGTTCTGTGAAAGCCCCAATTAAGAATTATTTTAAAGGAGACTGGACCTTTGCCTTGACAGCATTATGGAAAAGGATAAAATTGCTCTTATCTTTGGCTTTATTAATTCTTTACCCCCCTTTATATAGTGGGGAAAGTGTTAAAACTGAGAAGTATAAGGGCAAGAAAAAGTCTGTAGGGAGAGGGTCTCCGAGTAGCTCTGCCTGGGCAGAAGAGCTAAACTGACATTTATGTTGTCTTACTGTTGTTAATTAGTAAAGCTACATCCTAGAAAAGGGGGGAGCTGGACTTTATGTACTGTGTGGTTTGAAAATGTGTCTGTTCCCAGGGCTCGAAGGTACTGTATCTTGATATCTATTTATTATTGATGTTATATATAACATTGATAGCTTGTTTTGTATGTACAGTGTCTACTTTGTTGTAAAAATCAAATAAAATATTAATTACAAAAAGAACAGAGTACAAATTAAACAGAAAGGCCACGAACCATACAGACCTGGGAATGGATTTGGGGGCTTACTGTAGAAAATTCTTTGAATACATTATACCAGCGTATAAAAGGCAGGCAGGATATTGGGATGAATCAACACAGGGATAAAATACAAAACTTGCTTCTTGTTTGTGTGCAAGGCATACTGCTTGCCCTCACCTAGCATTTCTGGGTCAGATCCTCAGTTGATGCAAATCGGCATAGTTCCATTGAAGTCAATGAAGTTATGTTGATTTACACCAACCAATGATTTGGCTCTCTGTTTAGTTTTGGTTCCTTTTTTTCCATATCAAGGATACTGGAGAGAAACCTTAACTGGCTGAACCAGGGTGATTCCAGGTGTTAAGAATCTTTGCTACAGAGAAAGATTGAAAAGGTCAGTCTCATTTTCACAGGAGAAGAGAAGAGTGAATTGATTTAGCAGATTAATTCAAATTTCTGAACCGGGTGACTGAAAGTGAATGACAAACTATAAATACTGCTGAAGAGTTCACAAAAAGAGAGAGATCCATAAATTAGGAAATTAAGATTGGGCAAAATGAAGATTGCTATGATTAAAACTGATGCATTAGAAGAGCAATAAACATAAGCTTCCCAGACAGACCAGTGCGGCAAATATTGTAGACGAGTTTAAGAAGTAGCCAGACACTTTTATGGAGAGGATTGAAGGATTCATTGATAATAAGCAGGGAGGCAGGATTGAGATAATCTTTAAAAAGGATTGTTAGGCCATATAGCCTTTTATGGTCCAGCATTTCTTTATGGCCCTATTGCCTATTATCCAACCTCATTACGGGTGGAAGGGGAGGAAAGTGCTAGTCATCTTTTGCGATTGCTACTGATAGGAAGCTATTTGTTAATATCGTTATTCAGTATGTTGTCACCAATGTTAACAAGACAAAAGAGAAAAATATGGATAAGTAATTTTTTAAAAAAACTACAATAAGTCACTTAAACACATAGGCCTAGATCCTTGGCTACAGCTGAGGGCTGCAATGCACAGCTAAAGTGATTTGTGCACGCAAAGGGGACTTTAAACCACTGTGTTCGCACCCTCGTTCCAAAGCCTTCTTTATTGGTCAGGTCTCCCAAGCATTACTTAGAACAGCTTGAGGGCTCACACCAATCACCCCTTCTCACTACTTGAAGAGGGACAAATTCACAGTGTAACTGCGAAGACCATTTGGGAATTATACCAGTAATAAACTAGGCCTCGTAGGTCTCTGGATAGGAGTAGAATGATCCCCCTGGTTGTAGAATACTCAGTAATTGAACCTGGAACTGGCTGCTGGCAAAGCTCTACAGGTACAGATTCCAAGGCCAGAAGGGACCGCTGTGATCATCTAATCTGACCTCCTGTATAACACAGCCCATAGAACATCCTCAAAATAATCCCTTTTGAACTACAGCATATCTTTAAAAAAAATCCAATCTTGATTTAAAAATTGTCAATGAGGAAGACTCTACCATAACACTTGGTAAGTTGATCCAATGTTAATTAACCTCACTGTTAAAAATTTACACATTATTTCCAGGATGAATTGGCTAGTTCAGCTTCCAGCCATTCAATCTTGTTAAACCTTTCTCTGCTAGATCAAAGAGCCTGTTATCAAATATCTGTTTCCTGTGTAGGTATTTATAGATTGTGATCAAGTTACTCCTTAAACTTCTCTTGGTTAAGCTAAATAGATTGAGCTCTTTTGAGTCTATCACTATAAGGCATGTTTTCCAGCCTTTTAATTATTTTCATGGCTCTTTGTTGAACCTTCTCCAATTTATCAGCATCCTTCTTGAATTGTGGACATCAGGACTAGACACTGTATTCCAGCAGTGGTTGCACCAGTACCAAATACAGAGGTAAAAATAACCTCTCAACTCCTACTCAATATCATTAGCCCTTTTGGCCTCACAGCATCACACAGGGAGCTCCTTGTTCAGGTGATTATCCGCTGTTACCCCCAAATCTTTTTCAGAGTTACTGCTTCCCAAAATAGAGTTCCCCCATCTTGTATGTATGCCTTACAGTCTTTGTTCCTAGACGTATGGACAAGAAGTATATGTATGTATCTTTAATAAAGATGAGCTAACAGGGTGTTGACACAGCCTCAGACAGCTCCCCCCATATGCTGATATCATTCCACTTTTCAACCCGGTGTAAACCAGTTTAACAAAGGGCACAAAAGAGTTGTTAAATTTTGTGATCTGAGCTATAGTGGAACTTGTAGAGACTTGGGTTGGACAAAAACATGAATTCTATTTTACAAAAAAATTTTGAGGTTTCAAGAAAGAAAGAGACCACCACAGAATAACCATTAGGCGAGTAGTTAGTGTACTCACCTGGGATGTGGGAGACCAAGATTCAGGTCCAAAATTAGGCAGAGAAGGAACCTGAGCCTGGATCTCCCACATCCCAGGTGAGTACCCTAATCACTGAACTGGACCTGAGAAACCTTCTTGATGAAATTTTAATTAAAACCAATTCATTTCCACAAAATGTTACTGTTTCCACAGCTTAGCATTTTTTGACACACACACACACACACACACACACACACACACACACACACACACACACACACACACACACAC